AACACTACAGAGCTTATTGCTCTATTTACAGGGTCCCTAATAATATGTATATATAAAAAAATAACAAAAAAACATTACATTATTTACAATACATTTTATCGACAAGACTGGACAACGGACGACACGAGTGACACTTGACACATATACTTTTAAACGTTTGTGGAGCATTAACGTTATATATGTGTTTAGTCGTCATTGCTTCATAATAAGTTAACAGGTAAGATTTGAATTGGCCGACAGTAACACTTGCTTCTCGAATATGTGGTGGTAGGGAGTTATATATTCTGGGAGCTCTATTATAAAAACTGTTCTGAAAAGTTAAAGTCTTAACTCTGGAAATTTTTAATGTTATTGCACTGTTAGTTGTAGCGCGCCTGGTGATGCGATCGTTTGATACTATACTAATCTGAGAGTCATTCAATTCAATTTCCTTAAAGAGATACACCAAGTCCAGGTACTCGTGCCAGTAAGACAGAGGAAGTAAACCTATTTTCAATAGTCTGTCCTGGTAACTAGTTTCAGATCTAAACGGCAGCGATAGGATGAATCTCGTTGCACGTCTTTGAATCTTCTCGATTTCGAGGATTAAAGACGCAGACTGCGGGGACCAGACTTGGGAGCTGTACGCGAAGCGACTTCGTACTAACGTTTTATTAAGTGCGGTACGTGTACGAGGATCATGCATCTTAATGGAGGACCTATTTACGAAACCAAGCATTCTGTTTGCTTTCGCACATACAGCAGATACTTGTTGGTTCCATTTGAGATCTGCAGTGATGAGAAATCGGTCAAAACTTGCTGACTAGGCATTTTTTTAGCGTCCCTCCACATGTGTGATACAATAGCCGAGGGACTATGAATAGTTTGCGTCCCTCACATGGCAAAATTGTTATCGAAATTAATATATAGTAGAGTTATAGCCCTATCTTTGCTCGGAAGAGATAAATTTCCACAGGTATATTGAAGGATTTTCGTATGTTTACAAAATTATAGCGAGGAATCTATTCGTCACAAAAATCGAGACATATTTTAAACAGAACTAAACACTTGCTAATCCCGGGTTAACCTGGTTGTCAACGTCGTTGTTATGGTCAATGACTTTGAAAATGAGGCAAAAAACAGCAAAAAAGTAAGGCCTTTACTTTTCGTCCATTTGTACCGACCTTTCTCATTTTTCATAAATTTATTTAAAACAGCCTTTACTTTTCGTCCATTTTTAGCCGATTTTTCAATTTTTGAAAATCTTCATCGATTTTTACCGACTTTTCATATTTTTCATAAATGGGCATAAAACAGCAAAAAAGTAAGGCTATATAGCCTTCACTTTTCGTCCATTTTTAGCCGACTTTTCAATTCTTGAAAATGAGGAAAAAAACAGCAAAAAAGTAAGGTTATATAGCCTTTACTTTTCGTCCATTCTTACCGACTTTTCTCATTTTTGTGGCTAGCCCGTTCGCGGGCTAGCCACAATGTAACGCTAAAACTGTAAGAGTTGTGAAGTTGTGACGGAACCTGTCGACTGGCTTCGGAAACTGTCGTTGATGGCATGAGACGATGATATTAAATGCCACAGAAAAGGTATCGTATATCCTTATACTGTGATCGTATTAACGGGTAACGACTTTAAAGTGGCAGATATATGCCTCACTCAGCAAAATTTATACAGTTGGCAACTCTCGTAGAAATACTCGAATGAATTTTTCACAGAAACGGTAAGTTAATTTTTGTTATTTCAATCGATATATTTTATGTTTACAATTTGTGAATCTGTCAATATCATTGCTATTCATGTCTGCTCTGGACTCTGCTTCTGGTCAAAGAGATTTTGATCACTCTTCATATAAAGCTTGATAGTGAGTTTACAATCCTGTTTATAATCGAACGTTCTTGCACAGAATAACAGATCTTGCACCATTATGTGGGAAAATTATATAAGAAGCAAGTCCATTGTTGGTATATTTTATAACAACACTACAACTGGCCCTATCCACTAGCTAGCAGGTACAAAACTACAATTAACACAGAAAACAGGCTGGACTATTTTATATTAATATAGTCTATAGTAGTCACTAGCGTGGGAGCTCAGTCTGTTTACATACAGTTGAAGGATCTTCTAGATGGAAGTAATTGAGTGAAAATGTATTATTTTACATATTATTTTACAGAAAATGTATTATTTTACATGACCTATTAAACCAGGAAATACAACTGCATGACATACAGTAGGTGCAGTATATTTTTTGGATATCAAGTCCAGATGTAAATATATAACTGATCTAAGATCAGCAGGGACGTAGAGACAGGGGTGTGGGTGTGTGTAAACCCCACAGGGGTGTAAACCCCACAACTGTGAAACTCAGGTAAAATTGAAGTATAGTGTAAATTTTGACATTTGAGGTAAAATTTGTGTAAAAAAGTTGTTATATTTGTGAAATGATGACCATGTGACATCCCGACACCCGTCCCCCCTCCCAGACGCTTCGCTACATTCCTGAAAATCAGTGCAATCACCATACAACACAGACCCTTGCAGTTGCGAGGGTATATATATGTGAAGAAGCAAACCCACAGCCATAATGTGATGAGGTCATATCGACAAGTTTCAACTTTTCTTTTCAGCATTTAATAACAGCAGTGTCAATTGAGTAGCATGTTCATACTTTTATAGCTACAGTTAAATGTTGTTTAATCCAACGAGCTGCAATGCACCCTAGCCTGCGTAGCAGGCGCTATTTAGGGGGGAGGGCAAGGGTGGGAGAAGCTAGGGGGGGGATGCGAAGGCGAGAGAAAGAGAGCGAGGAAAAATGGGAAGGGCGAGAAAGAAATAGCTATTTCCTTCTCGCCCCTTCCATTTTTCCTCGCTCTCTTTCTCTCGCCTTCGCATCCCCCCTAGCTCCTCCCACCCTCGCCCTCCCCCCTAAATAGCGCCTGCTACGCAGGCTATGCACCCCAGTGCACCCTACTTATTTCTTTTATGTCTAATGCCAGACGATTTTACTTTTAAATAATTTGCAGATAAAAGCACAATTCAAAATCATAGTGATGCATGGCATCTACATGGCATTTACAACTTCAAACAACTAAGCGAACATATATTCTGGTCAATTTGCTGATAATATGGTGACTGGTAATAATATTGGATAATATAGGAAGATCAGAATATTTGTGCAAGTATCAGGGCAATACAACTATCAGACAAAAATCTTAGTGGTAATGACATAATTGATTTGATGAGTTCATTATAAATTCCGATGGTGTTAGATTTTACAATAAATAAAAAAATGTTTAGAAATGTAGTATTAAATATTATATTTAATATAATGAAGAACTTTGAATTTAAATGCTTTATGAAATCTGCTATGCTAGCAATTCAAGAAAAGCTAATAACTTGTAAACCAGACACCAAAATATATTTGTAACAAGAAACCCAATGTAATGAAATCTTAGTGAATTACATATTAGTGAAATTTTGAAAAACAATAAAATTGACATCATTTATAGTTGCTGTATATGCTTATTATTTTAGCAAAACATTTATTAAAGTACTAGTGTGACTCAATAATATTGTTGGCTGAACAATATTGCTACCAACCAATGTTGCTTTTAAATCAAGTGATTGTAGCCATTTGTTGGCATTGTAAGAAAGATGCTACATCTGTTTTATTTTGACCATTCTTCTATTGTAATTATTAATTTTGTATCAGAATGAATGTTTGTGTTGAATGTTCATGACAATGTGAACTCCAGCTGTATTCGAAAAGCTGAATAGGCTAGCCACATGTACGCAGTGCGTACCTATTTTTATATTATTTTATTGTTTGTCAATTTTACAACTTTACCATATTTTGCATGCACTGGAGAACATTTGGTGAAAATTTGATGAAAATCGGACTGATATTGAGCGCGCAGTAGCGATTTTCCGCAAAACGCCCAAAAGGGTATCCTGTAACCTTAAAGTGCGCAAGACATGAAATTTTTGTCCCCAATTTTTGTGCATCACTTGAAAGTACCTTGAAAATGATAAAGACTGGGAAAATTGTCTGGTTTCTTGGATTTTCAGCGGATTCATTTTTTTTATCAAGATATGCGTGCTTCCACTTGGTTTATTTAAAAACACATAAACAACATGAACAAAGCCTTCACAGACAGTTTTGCAGCATGCATGGAGTTTGGCACTGACCGTTGGACATTAAGTCACAGCAAAGTATATTTTAACATTCTGTATGTTATAAATTGCAATGACTATTTGTTTTCTTAATTTCTCTTCTTCTAGAGTTGTAAAGAAAACGAAGAATTTTCGCATGGTGAGTAATCTTAGCAAAGTAAATCGCGCAATTAAAAATATCAAAGATTCTTTTTGCAAAAAAATAGACCTTATGCATAATGACGTCACAAGGCTTGATGCCCGTGAGGAATGTTGGTCTTAATAGTCATCGCCCGGGAAAATTGAACAATTCAAAATGGCCACTATCCGGTGACTACTACGACCAGGATTCCTCGCGGCCATCAAGCCTTGTGACGTCATTATGCATAAGGTCTATTGGCATATTTGTACCGCAAATGTCTTAAACACAAAAATTAGGCAAAGAATGATATTTTATTATTTAATTTTAGAAACCAAAAAATGTAAAGAGTTCTTCTACTCATGCAAAGATGTGCTCACCAAATATGAGTAAGTTAAACCATTGGCATTCGAGTAACAGCGCTCTCAACTTGACGAGTAAACTGAATCGTCCGCAGTTAGACAGAGTAAAATAAATCTGGGGTTAGACAGGGCTCACTAGGAGCACTAGGGCACAATGTAACTTAGGCCCGGTTTACACTATACCGGATTGCTATCGGAGTGGGTCAAATTTTGTAGATATCGAAAGGCTGTGAAGATTTTTAATCTGTCCGCAGTTAGACAGAGTAAAATAAATCTGGGGTTAGATAGGGCTCACTAGGAGCACTAGGGCACAATGTAACGTAGGCCCGGTTTACACTATACCGGATTGCTATCGGAGTGGGTCAAATTTTGTAGATATCGAAAGGCTGTGAAGATTTTTAATCACAGAGAGCCAAATAAACATGCCAATTCTGTCAAACTAATAAGCATTTGCTACTAACCATTGCTCCGTAACGGCAAAAGATGTCGTGACGAGCGAATCCGGTATAGCGTAAACAGGGCCTATAGTTTCCAAACTTCATATTATAAATTGCTCGTTTGTAACATTTAGGAATTCTACCAACGGAATTTATAATTTAAAGTCAATCAGTACAGGCAAATACTACGATGTATACTGTCACATGAACGACATTGGAACATGTGGAGGGGGAGGCTGGACACTAGTGATGAAATTGGACGGGAATAAGGTAAAGAAGGGATTACAGGGATTGGTATTCAGTGACAAAAATATAATGAATAGTTGTTAACACTTAACACGGCAACAATAACACTACAAAAATGGTTACATACAGTCATTTCAAGTGTAGAAGTGAAAACGTGGGTAAAAAAATAAATATTACGAATTGAAAACAAGAGTGATTTTAACTTAATATTATCTTTTGATAAATGCTCAATGATCGATGCGGTGCCTGTTTACCCATGGTGACTAACATATATAAAAATTATAAAAAATGCCATGTCGCAACATATATACGGCTGCAGAAGGCATGTTATTGTCGAAATGGTATAAAAAATTCGGCATGGCTTTTTATGACATTCGGCAGTTTTGTTCATAATTTGTCTTAAATCCGTCTGACCGTGTAGCTCAGTTGGTATAGAGCGTCGATCTAGTAATTCGAAGGTCGCGCTGGGTATGGAAATTATGAAATACACACTCGAGAACATTTTCAATATATATATATATATATATATATATATATATATATATATATATATATATATATATATATATATATATATATATATATATATATATATATATACCGGGTGGCCCAAAAAAAGTACTCATCTTTGATTCAGTATAACTTAAAAAGTAAAAGCGTTCTGACACTTAAACAATAGGCATTGTATTCAGTAATGTATAACTTAAATTTTCGTATATACCATTTGCATTTTAATACAGTATTGACTGAGATAACTGCGTTTAAAGTTGAGTTAACGTTTCGGGAAATGTCGAAAATTAGCAAAAAACGGCCTATTAAATGTTAATACCGCAATAACCTGTGCGTAGGTACACTGCAGTCGAAAAGTACACGTTTGTTTTCCAGATAAAAATGCTATTCATTAGGAAATGCATGCCCCGCAGCAAGAATGCACTTTCTTGCCCGTGTGAGCATGCAGTCGAATGAATTTCGGATCATCTGGGCATCCAGTTTGCGGCATGCTGTTACAATTGCCTCACGAAGCTCTCTCAAATGATGTGGTTGTTCATCATGTGGCACATTCCAAATTTGATGCTTCAAGTAGCCCCAAAGAAAAAAATCGCACACCGTCAGGTCAGGAGAACGAGGGGGCCAAGGCCAATCACCCCGTTTACTCATCAGTCGGCCAGGAAATTGCCCCCGAAGATATTGCATAGTTGCGTTACTCGTATGGCATGAAGCTCCGTCTTGCTGCCACCACATGGAATCTCTATCGATATTGTGAGTGTGAAAGTCTCTCTGAATCACGTTATAGCGTATGATACGGATGTACTCTCTCGTGTCGAGGTTTCTCTCTGCAAAGTGTGGACCCAGAACAACGCCTTGCCTCGTCAAACCAACCCAAACCATTATTTGCTGTGCACCTTGCATAAATTCGACGTAATGATCCTGTGGCGGCCCATCGCCACG